TAATAAGGGGGGGGGGGGGGGACAGCAGAACAGTTGTAAATTGACGATTAAAATTCCATGTCCGAAATGATATATTTTTTTTGCTTTTGATTTTTGCCTGGCAGCAGTACTCTTAACAAAAACTGGAGCTGTCTTTGTCAAGCTCCTGTCACCCTGTAGGTAGGCATTCCAGAACTCTTGTACTGTACTGAAATCCTTCCAGTGGGTGTTAGTGGCACACTGTTGACAGCTTGAGCCTTACGGCTGGAGACCTTAAATCATGGAACTCTTTCCTTCTTGCTCAGTTCAGTAATGTATCGAGCTGAAAAATCCCGATTCTCTTAAGCTAGCTGCATGTCCAGGACCAGACAGTGCCACATGCCGACTCCTTCCTTTTGAAAACCAGATGAGCACACGCAATTATTCTTTTTTTCCTCTTCCCTCCATCTGATGTATTCCAGCCACTCAAGGTGGAAATTAAAAGATAAAGATACTCAATTAAAAAAGACCTTTTGCCTCACTGCCCTTGTTTCCAGCAATGCATAAGCTTTTTGAAACCCAAGCACTGCAGGGCCATGAAACCCTTTTTAGGTAGTCTGATGGCTTCCAGCAAACGGTGGTTCCTAATGCTAAACATCCTAGGATATTTTTATTGGTTTTGACAGTTGGAGTTTGGAGGCTCAGAATCTTTTTTTCGAGTTCTAGTAGTAGTGAATTGAACAAGGCGTTACTGTATCTTTAAAAAAAAACCCAAACAAAACCACAACAATAAAACCCCACAAAATCCCCCCACTCCATTACTAAAATAGACTTGGGATGCTTTTATCCTCCCATAATTGAACATACACACCCCACCCCACCCCCCCTCCCTTCATTTAATTGCTCCATAGTCTCTTTCGGCATTTGACAGAAAGGAGAATTACTGGTTTAGAATGAGCCTGTAGATTTGCAAGGAACGCTTGCAGACTTCTGCCCAGATCAGCACTGACCTCACGATGCCCTCTTAATTTGCTGAAAATTGTTGCCCGATCAAACCACCTTTCATAGAAGTGCCCTCGTGGAAAAACTGCTCAGTCTTGACAGCTCAGCGAGACGCACCGTATAGTCAGCTGTCCTTTACCTGTCTGCAACAGTTATTCTACAGCTGGACTTTCTCCCCTCCACCCCCCTTCATTGCACTGTTATCTGAAAAGGGAAGTTAAACTGATTATAGTACATCTGCCTCAAACTGACCTTAGCAAGAGAAAGCACGCGTTCATCTTTACTTCACTCCTTGTCTCTGGGAATTATGAAATGCGTGGTACTTAGGATCTTTCCTTAGTATTCGCTTCCTGCGATTACCTGCAACAGGAAGAGGAAGGAAGGGGTGCCAGAGCCTTAACCTGAATGTCTTGCATTTGGTTGGTTTATACCAGATCTTTAACGTAATTGTAATGTAGTAATTTCTATTTAATAGTAAATAACACTGAATAGGTAGGGGTTATTTTTAAGGGATTTTCTAAATAGTCTTCCTGAATTACTTTTCAATGCTCCTCACGTTTCCTCCCCGCCCCCCAATTCAGGCTTCTCTGAGATTTGGGTTTTTTTTAGCATCACTGTTTAGTTGCTTGACTGATATTAATGCAATATTACTAATGCCTTTAATACATAATTGTTTATGCCAAAGATCACTTTCTGTTTATTGAGGAATGTTTGCAGGAAAGTTACGAATCATGGTTGCCTTTGACATTCTTCCAGAATGTTTGCTATAAATTCTTGGAACTGTTTTGTAGAAGCGAAGATACTTGTCCACCTTATGCAATTACTGCTTTTTTGAACACTATTAGTCTTCGGACCTGAAATGCAGCAAAAATTTGAAAAAGACCATGAATGTCACTTAGAAATGTTTTACCACTATAAAACTTTGTTTATAAACCAAAATGTATTGTATAGTCTAATGTTTTCAACCTTTCTTTGGTTCTGTTAAAACAATAAAAATTGCATTTGTACAAATGTCAGCTCGTGAGTATTAATGACAACGGAGCGGTGGATAACACCCTAACAAGAAGAAGAGCAAAAAGCTAAAGCAGCAGAAATACTAAAGCAAAAGAACAGTTGTTTCTACGTATTCTGAACAGAAAGAAGTGCCAAGTTCCCCAAAGAGGAGAAGATTACAACAAATTGTTTCTGTCTTTTGTGCCCATAAAACCGGTAATTAAAGAACTTAGTGGAAGCTCTGGTCCAGTGGGAGAAAACGGGAGCTTTTCCAGAGGCCTGATGGTCACCTCTTCCAGTAGCACCGAACAAGGTTCTGAAAACTTGAAATGGGATTTGCCCGATCCTGTCGCTAAGGGAAGAACTGCTACTCTGGCCAACACCTCATTAATCTGAATTTTACTTCACAAATTGAACGCAAGAGCAATTAGCATGGAATCACTGTCCTGTTTCCTTCACTCCTTCACAGTAAGAACCTCTTACAAACACTTTTTCTCGCTAAAAATTTCTACCGGCACACATAACGTTCTGACTTTGTGGAACCAACGTTCATTGGTGCCGTAGGACCGAACATAGTCCCACAGTGCCGGAAGGCATCTGGGATTTAGTAAGAATAGGTAAAATTCAGATTTCATACTGTTCACACAGTTCTCTCCATATCCGAGAGAGGATGAGAACCCGAGAGACAATCACCTCTGTCAGCACTCCCAGAGCTGGACACCTAGAGAAGGGGAGAACAAAAGTTGGCAGTACTAATTCCTCAATAATGACACCCTCCGATTTCTCAAGCTGTACTGGTCATACAGGTGCTGGTGCAATTTTCTTAACGGGGAGAACACGAACCCAGTCCCCCCGTCTGCAGATTCTGCAGCCGAGTTTCCTGTGTTTGGAGAAACGGCAGGAGCCAGCACACCTACAGCAAAAGGTACGAGCCTGACACGACAAACACCATTTCCCTGACGAAAACTGTCATGGTGGTTTCCTACCAGGTGAGTGTAATTCTTGTTGACAGCGACTTCTGGTGGTGCGCTGTGAAGTACGGATCAAAGCTTTTCCAGACACAGAAGCTTTGTGCCCGCTTCCCTGGTGCCTGCGTTACAGAAGGTTGGCAAGGCTTGTTCTGCAACAGGCTGAAGGGAAGCGTTGGTGTTAAGGCTAGCCAGTTTTGGTATTACAGTATGTTCTCTATCGGTAACGGCGTCAGTTCTGACAGGAGATCTTGCGGCATTTCCAGGCTGCTAATGCAGAGAGCAGCTCTAGCTACTCAGACTTAAGCTTGGGGCGTTATCGGTTACATCTGAAGACAAGACTTCCAGTAAAATTCCCGTTAACTGAAGGATGCCATTTGCTGAAACATGGAGCGGAACTGTAGGATGAGTAATGAATCGATGGATGTTTCTCCAGCTGAAGAGGGTAGACTAGAAGGTTGGTAGCTTTTAATACCTAGTGTCGCGTCTACACAAATGTAAGGCTTTCTTATAGGTGCTGGGTCTTACAAGTGCTGTTTTATCTGCGCTAATCTACTGTAATTTCAGAAATTCAAAATGGTTGTCTCTGGCAAAGTTTACCCTAGTGATAGTACCAAAGTTACCGATAGAGAATATACGCTCATTTCTCTTCTTACTGGCTTGCTGCCAGCGTTCAGATGGGTTCCCCCTCCTTTTTTTGGTCATTTTTTGTCCCAGTATTTGAAATTTTGACACTGAATGACTTTAGTTCCCATTCTTCACCTGAAGCAAAGTTAGTGCCTATTCATCAATTTGTAAGCCAAACAGGGTAGGGAAACAAAGATTCTCTGGTATCCCACCCTTCCTTAACTCTGAACTTGGGTTTCTCGGCCTACTGCGTACTAACCAAACGTATGGTTTGAAACCCGACGGGTACTGCGGGGCACGTATTGGTTTACAGAGATGACAAGTTTATGCTGGTGTATAAGGAAAAGTTTAGTCAGCTGTGCGTCATCGCTCTTGTGTCTTTGAAATGTCATAATCTAAACATCAATTGTCTTCCATTTGAAAATTAAAAACATGAAAGGGAGCTTACCTGCCGTGCTCCTAAATGCCCTTTCTAAACTTTAAATGGCTGCACAGTGATCAAATTCATTAAAGATGTAGCAAATAGTCATCACTTAACTGTGTATCAGATGCCTCCTGCCTAAGAGCAGCATGAATAGTTTACGATAGCACAAACGTGTCACCAGAGAAGACGTATTTGCAGTAGAGTTCCCTTTATTTCATAACATTAAAGCACACAACCATTAAATACACTTGACACCTCTATTGTGCTATCTAAAAAGCTACGCTCCAGTGTACACGTGGCACAAATCTGGTGGCATCCACTTCGAACAAGTGGAACATCTAAATCAAAGCGAAGGCTTCACATAAAAAATAGATCTTACTCTCTGCAACTGTATTCTTAAAAAAAATGATGGCGATGACGAGATTGAATGGAAAGAAAGTGGATTACTGAAGCAACAATCACCTCCCAGATTTAATGCAGAAAGTTATTTTTATCAGCTCATCTGCAGATGGCACAAATGAAAGCTGATTAAGGCAAATGCTTCTTAAGAAAGGCGATTTCTTGTAAACAAGGAAATTATTTTTCTCTTCATCAGAAGCTCTTTCTCAGGAGTGACACTTGCTATGTCCCAGGCCGCTGTGGGACCCCTGCCCCTCTCACTGCTGCTCTCTCTCTCTGAAGGGATTACATGATGCTTTGTGGAATGCCAGCTTGCAGCGAGAATAGCTGAGCTTTCTTTGCAGGCGGCTGCAGCAGCAGAACGTGCCACCACAAGACTTTTCCAGTGGCCTGTCTGGCCTTCGTAATGTGCTTGGCCTCTGGGCTTTGGTATCTGACTGGCAGTGTAGCGTTTGCGACGTTTTGTGGATCGCCTATATCAAACTATTCACCAGCACAACAATTCAGTAAAAAAAGAGTGAAGGTGTATTAGGAAAAAAGTACCTTATTTTAAAGCC